GCGCACATGCGCAAGGCGCGAAAACGCTGTGTTACTTTGACATTGTCCGGGTTTCTGGCCATATAAAAGACCTGCGTGCCTTTTACTGTTGTTCGGTTGTTGTTAGAAGAAGAATAAAGAGCTGTTTAACATTGTCATGTTTCTTCATCATTCGCACGCGAACAAAGTACTTAACAAGTAGAACAAAACTTGAGAAATGGGTGGACTATACAAGCTCAATAACATTTTGCTGCTCCCAGGTGTTAGGAACTGGAATCCCAGTTACTGATTAAATTCTTTTTTGCCACTACTTCCTCTTTACTCTAGTTCTCAAAGATTATAATCAGGTCCTGAGATCACATTTCCAGTTCCTTTAACATCCTGAAATATAATCCATCCAATTTCAGAAATATAAAGCAGCAAGGTGTTCCCTTACCAATTCCTTGCCTCTTTTGATCTGCATTTTATTTCTAACATCCTATGATGTAGCTTCTGACAGATTGGGCCATTTTTCCTTTTGTGCAAAGACAGATACAAAATAGGGATTAAGTAGTTTAGCCTCCTCCTTGTTGCCCATTTCCACCTCACAAACTTCTGCAATCATTCGGCTTCCTTGACTTTCTCTTGTGATGCACAAAGAACTCTTATGTGTTATTTCTGGCATTTTATTTTAATTCTTACCTCATTCCAAGCCTTCGCTTCCCAATCCCATCTTTGTAGTTTTGACTGTTCTCTGGTATTTTGCTTTGATTACGTGGTCCTCTTTCTCACCCAAGGAATTAATTGGCATACATTTGTATGTTGTGTCTGATGACCATTCTAAGGTCTACTTAACTTCAGCAACATGGTGCCCTAATAGCAAAGCCGTTAGCTATTTTGTGAGATGAGGAAAACTCAGCCTTCACGTGAAAGGCAGTTGTTTACTTCAGTGGTACGGTATGTACAATTGCAATGTTGTTTCTGACCAGGAAAAAAATGGTTGTGTCCTTTATAAAATAGAAGATTTTGATAGCGTAGAGTAGTAGCCATTTTGTTGCAGCATCCCCATGGTCATGTTGGAAGTCAACACCCGCCCACCCTCCTAGAGAAGGAAATATTTTGAGGAATATTAAAAAGGCAGAATATTGTATTTCCCCAAAGGAACTTAAAGGCAGAACCCCCCCCCCCCCCGCAAGTCTCTCTGCCACAAGCAGAAACCAGGTCTGTAGAAATGCAGATTTGATAATCCTTTCGTTGTTTGACTGGAGAATTGCTCTAATAAATTTGGATTGAACTCTTTCCAATGGTGTGAAACACGAAGCTGAGGGTCCGCATAAAAGAATAAAACAAACACAGTAGTCCCAATCAAAAACTGTTGGTAGACCATGCTGTAATGGTTAACTGAATTCTTATTGACTGAATCAATATAATGGCCTTGATTTGCACAGCACAGCTGAATCAGAAATTAACTGTACTAAATTAGGGTCGAAATGTTACCAAGAAATAAATGAAGTAAAGTCCTTAGGAGTAGCAGTATCTTTGAATTGAACCTTAAACTGCAATATTTCTTTTTCATGCTGATGTTAGCTCATTTGTTATATAAACTAGTGAGATTGCAATTTTTTTTTATAGTTAAGCTAAAAATTACTATTAGAAAAGAGGGAACACCGAAACAGGGAAGTAAGATTTTTCTTCAGACTTTGACTCAGCAATCTTGAGATTGCAGCAAAGTCATGAAACTATAGAATGTATTCCTGAGGCATTCCACCATCATTACACATATCTTCCTTTTGGAACATCTTACTTGATGAAGAGATCTTAGACACTTTGAATTGGCTTGATAAATATATGTTAATGTTAATTTTGGATCTTTTTTCCTTTCCTTATGGCCAGAATCAATTTGTTTTTTACAAAGTGAAAAAAAAAATAGGTAGTCCTCAATTTATGACTACAAATGACCCCAAAATTTCGGTTGCTAAGCAAGACAGTTGTTAAGTGAGTTTTACCCTGTTTTATAACCTCTCTTGCCACAGTTATTAAGTGGATCACTGCCATTGTTAACAAAATGGTTGTTAAGTGAATCTGGCCTCCCCATTGACTTTGCTTGTCACAAGATCGCAAAAGGTGATCACATGACCCTGGAACACAGCATCAGTCATAAATACGTTCCGGTGGTTGAGTGTTCAAGTTTGATCATTTGACCACGGCAAAGCTGCAATGGTCACAAGACTGAAAAACAGTCTTAAGTCACTTTTTTCAGTGCCATTATAACTTCAAATGATGATTAAATGAATGATTTTAAGTCAAGGACTTCCTATATACCCTTACATCAGCGTGGGTTTGTGCTCCATGAGGGAGCAGAATTTTATCATTTGAGCCTGCAATTTAGATTCATTTAACTAGGTTTAGTGCAACAGTTTTTGCCATAAAGAATAGGACAGACGTCTTGGGAGATAGGGATGCTGAACATGCCATGACTTGTGTGCTGGCAATCTATAGTTGGATTATAGTAATGTGCTCTGTGTAGGCCCTTGAGGAATGTGCAGAAATTGCAGAATACCATCACACCTTCCTCCCTCTGGCCAAAATCATGGGCTTCACTATGTATAAAATATGTTTCTTTGTTCTGAACAATCAAGTAAAGATGGATTCTATATCTTATTTTTATTGTCCTTGTCCCCAATCATTACCATTCACCTGATTTCTTTCCAAGGTAACAGGTGACAGAGAGGAACAGATTTTACATGCCTAGAAATGGTGTCAGAATAAGAAAATACAATTTTAATACTGGAACAGCTGAGAATGATTTAAGCTTGATTCACTTGAGGGGGTCAACCTGTTTTCCAAAGCACCTGAAGGCAAAAACAAGAAACAATGGATGGAAATTAATCAAGGAGAGAAGCAACTTAGAACTAAGGAGAAATTTCCTAATGGTGAGAATAATCAACCAGTGGAACGGCTTGCTTTCAGAAGTTGTGGGTGCACCAACACTGGAGGCTTTCAAGAAGAGACTGGACAGCTATTTGTCTGAAATGGTATAGGGTTTCCTGCTCAAGCAGGGGGCTGGACTAGATGACCTCCAAGGTCCCTTCCATCTCTGTTATTCTGTTTTGTGTTGACATATTGACCATCCTGCCAAATGCCTGATATGAGTGTGATGGGTGAGATCCCCAAGGATTTGGTCTTGGAGAGGCACCAACATTCATGTTAACTGTTTAAATGGGTGCACCTCAGAATTTCATGGCTTCCAAGGGTTTCAAAAGATATATTCATAACTTTCCCAGATGACAGGTCATATCCTGAATTTGGCTTTTGTCTTGAATGCAGATGACCAGAAATATCCTGGACTTAGCACAATTTGATGAGATTTGGATCTCTGAAGCATATTCTCATCAAGAGCAAGGGCGACATCGAATAGGTCCACCACAGAGACTGAGAGATTCTATTTGATTCCAAGTAGTTCTGAACAATGTTCTCTGCAATTTGATTGTTCAGTTTTTCAGTGACCATGTTGAAATGCAGAATATTGAAACTTATCTGGCATTTAATATAGTAGCTCCTAGGCAAGATAGCTTTTTGCCCTACTTTGGAGTCCATATTATATCACGGCTCATATAATGGTTCCAAGACTTGAACAACTATAACGTAGGTCCAGGGGCAAAGACAAAGAAGCATAATGGGGGGATTCACCATGAAACCTATGCAGCAGCTATTAGAGAGAAGAAATGTTGGATTTCCCTTCCCCCTCTTCCCTCAACTGCAGACAACAGTCCAAAGGAATCCTTGGGCAGATACCCTTCCATGGCTCTGGGTAGCACCTAGATCCCGTCTGATCAATCTGGTAAACAATTTATGAAGTTCTCTTTTGAATGAAATTGTTCAGATTTGTGCTGGTATTGAAATCAGTCCAAGGAATCTACCACACATGTATAATAATAGCATAATTTCAGACAGTTCCATAGTTTCACTTGTGAGAAATTAGGTAAGATATTCGGATCTCTTTGGGCCTCCCATTATATGTTTGGTTCCTTCCCTGGCTTGGCTTGTTAAGAAACTCTAACAGTCATTTTACATCTCTAATCCATGTTTTTTGCAAGCTAAATCTACACCCTATAAATGAAGTAGTAATAACAATAAGATCCCTGTCCCTCGCAAAGTATCTTTGGATCTAACTCCGGATTAGGCAACCTTGGCTCTGGTATGACTTGTGGACTTCAATACCCAGAATTCCTGAACCAGCCATGCTGGCTCAGGAATTCTGGGAGTTGAAGTCCACAAGTCATAAAAGAGCTAAGGTTGCCTACCCCTGATTCTAGCTGGTGTTAAGAGCTATCAACCAATCCCCCCCTCCCCAAAAAATCATCCTTAGATGAGACCGATTATCCTAAGCCTTTTAAGCCTAGTTTTAGGCCTTGGATGATATGGAGACACTGGTGAGAAATGCAGAAATGACATGCAGCATTTGTAATAGTGGTATGGAGAAGCAAATTTCACAGATGTAGATTGTTACTTTGAACATTATAGTGGAAGGTTATCCTGTGGATAGCAAAATTCAGATGTTGTCAGAGTATAGTAATCGCAGTTAATGGATACATTCTGAAGTCATTATATATGCTCTCTAGTAGTCCATACCGGTAGTAATATCCATGTCTTCTTCCTCTAAGTATCTTGTGCATGGATATGTGGCTATTCGTTAAATATATCCGTTAAATATATCCTTTTTGATAAAAAAAGTACATTTTTTATGTTGTAAAAAACGATTCAAGAAAAATTAATTAGAAAAGAATTAATGCTACGATTGTCTTCCGGTCCTGCTGCCACCTTTTTCATTTCAACTTCCTCCTTCTTTGCTTGCTTCCTTCCTTCCTTTGAGGAACTGACCACTCTATATTTCACCTACCGTACTTTCGTAGAAAACAAACGAGACGGGGTGGATGGGTAGAGAGAGAGAGAGAGAGAAAAGCCGACGTTCTCGGTTGCGTCTTGGCCTCACGTGTTCGTGACAAAGGGCCTTGGTTCCTTTCTCTTTCCGTAGCCGCTTCTTCCGCCCGGGGTTGTTACGTGAGCCACCTGACAGCTGAGTGCGCGTGCGCCCGAAAGCCCAGGCGCCCTTCGCCTCTTTCGGCGGGCATGGCGCTGCTGTTGCTGCTGCTGTCTGGCCGGCGTTGCTGCGGCGGCGGCGGCTTGCTTTTAGGACTTCGCCGACCTCCTGTACCCGCTGCATCCCTTCACCGGGCTTTACGCCCACCGGAGCCTCCCCCGTGGCCGGCCCTGAGGTGAGAATCTGGGCTTGGGAGGCACGCCGGCTTCTTGGAGCCTCCCGCTCTACCAGAGAGAGCGAGAGAGAGGCATGGGGGCAGCCGCCCTCTGCATATTCCCTTTCTTGTAGGGAAGTCCGTGTCCCTTCCCGGACTTCCATGCAACGGGGAGCTGCGTGCCCCGGCCCCCTTCGTGCTGCAGGCTAGGGAAGATACAGCACTTTGAGTGCGGCTCCCCCTCCGCCCGCAAAAGTAACCCGCTTAAGTTCTCAGTCAAGGACGGTGGGTGAAATGGTTCTGCTCCGTATCGGTTAGTCTCCATCCACCTCAAGAAAATTCTGGCCCCGATTATCCTTTTAAGGATTCGAGGAAGAAGGCAGAGGCTCAGAGGAAGGCAGCGAAGGGTGATCCGGACAGACCTATGCAGAGAGGAGATAGGAGCTGTGCACGAGCAGCCTGGAGGAAAGATGGCTTAAGGCGGCAGCCCATCGCATCCTTTGGGTGTTTGAATGGAGGAGGTCTCGGTGACTAGTTTTCTTCGATTCCAAAGTACAGGTAGTCCTCGACTTGCAGCAGTTCCGTTTAGTGACTGTTCAAACTTACAACGGCACAGAAAAAAAATGTGACGGGACCGTTTTTCAGTTAGGACCTTTGCAGCATCCTCATGAATGTGGGATCAAAATTCAGACGCTTGGCAACTGGCTCGTATTTAGGACCGTTGCTGTGTCCCAGGGTCAGGTGATCCCCTTTGGCGACCTTCTGACAAGCAAAGTCAATGGGGAAGCCAGATTCACTTCTCAACCAGGTTACCAACATCAGCTGCAGTGACTCACTTAATGACAAGGTTGTAAAACTCACTTAACAAATGTCTCGCTTAACAACAGAAATATTGGGCTTGATTGTCATTAAATCAAGGACTACTTGTACAATATACAGAATAATGGGTTTAAGTTAGAACACAGGTGTCAAATGCGATTGCGTTATGTGACATAGCGCGATGTTTTTTGCCCTTGTGGAACTGGGGTGGCCATGGTCTGCACATGATGCATCTAGCTCAAGGGCCACCAATTTAACACCCCTGAGTTAGAAGAAGGAAGATTCTGCTTTGATGATAATTGCTATTCAACAGTGGAACCAATTCTTAGAGGGCAAGTGGGCTCCCTTTTGCTGGATGTGTTCAAAATAAAGGCTAGACATTTTGGGTAAATAAAACTAGGTACTTCAGTTATAATTATGTATGAGTTCCATGAAAATGTGTTCCAATCTTTTTTTCACTGTGGGCATAAAATATTAATTTTAAGCTGTACTGTTTGAAACATCAGTCAGAGATAATTGTTCTCCATTAGTCTGCTATAACTACAATATTAAAGTTGTTTCTGTGTGAGCTAAATGGCATAAAAGAGATACATGACAATACAAGTGCTGAACTTGGATGTCCTTTCAGACTTCCAGTGTGCCGTTTTTCTTCAAAAGCAAACTCAAACAAGCTTACCTCTGCTTTGGTTTCAAAAATCAAATACCTGAATCAGAAGTATGAAAGATATTTGGAAAGGAGATTCCCACGTTTCTATCAGCTGTATTCAACATTTTTAAAAGGTGGGTTTTCATTTAAAAATATAGTTTATAATTTCAGTGAAAAGGCAACCCAGGAACATATGTCTTAATTTTTGTAGTATGCAAAATGTTTTAAATTGAGGGTATCCTGTTTCAGATTTCAAATGAATTGCACTGATGGAAGTGTGTCAAACAGAATTGCTTTAAAACGAGATGGGCTGCAAATAAATTTAATAATAAGATAGCTCTCTTTTAAGCTTTTTTGAACAATCTCAAAACTTAATTGAAATAGCTTTTTGTATGTAAAACAACCATTTCAAAATAAAAATGGAGTGTTTCTGCATACCATTCTGTATGCTAAACTGAAGTTTGGGAAACAAGTGCTTATATTAATTATAATTGATTATATATGCAGCATTCCAGTTAAATGTACCCAATTCCGGTATAATGAAAGATTCTCATGCTTGTTCCCCTTCCCAGTTCTTTTAGATTTACAAGGAAAGTGCTAAAAATGCCTCCTTCCAATTCATTATAATGCTCAAGAGTCTTATTTGAAACTACAATTTGATCCTGACATGTTCTCAGGAACATCTTTAAACTCAGAAATCCTAGGTAATTGTTAATTCCTAGAGGAAGAGGGAAATAGAGAAGAACGAATAAGTGAGCTTAAGGCTTCCAACAGTTTGTTCTTTTTAATAAAGATGTGTTTTTTATTAAATCTGAATTAATCTAGAGCCTGATCTGAGGAGGAAGAGATGAATATATGAGCAATATGTTGACATTCTGAATGAAACTGTATTTGTGCGTGTATGTGTGTGTATAAAATTTCTTTTATGAAAGCAGTAGATTTTGCAGAATGACAAGGAATGAAAGAGGTCTTGAGCTGAAAGAATAATATAAGAAGAATAGCAAGCATAGCTGTATGGCTCCTGATTTCTCAACCGTTTTCTCTCATTCCTTTTAAGACAATAGTGATATGTATAGTCGTATCACTAGTATAGTATACCTTACAACAGGATTGAATAAGCTTATACTATGAAGACTATTATCAACGCTACAATACTGCATTTCTATGGCATGCCCTAATATTATTAAATCAGGAGGGAAACAATTAGATGGTCAATATTTTTTAGAAATTGGACAAGAAAGTCAAAATAGGCCCTGAAATCAATAAACACAAGGAACTGTATGTTTGTGGAGATTCTCAGTCATCCAAGTCATAGTGGTCTCAAAAGTGCTTTTTCAAAAGGCAACTGAACTGTTTTTTTTTCCTTGAGGAAGAAAAATAAGATATTTTGCTTCTTATCTAAGAAGCTTCCCACTGATGAAGTTTCTTGAGGAGAAGTGTTTTCTTCTTCTCCCTCAATGAAAAAAACAGTCCATCTGTCTTTTGAAAAAGCACCTTTGAGACAAGGAACATTTTTTTCTAGAGACGAGTGAATGGTGATATTTTCAGATTAAAATAAATATATGAAAAACACAACATGAAAGTGGAAGTGAAATCTGAAAATAATTATATATTCTGTTCAGGCTTACAGGTTTTCTTTTCAGAAGCAAAAGAAATAAGAAAAATAAAGGCAGATATGTCAAATAAAAACATCCAGTTCCATCAACTTCCATACAGGGAAATGGAGAGACTAAGACAGGTAGGTTTGTATTCCATGTTCTCTTTTTCCTGTTAACTTTCTAATGCTTAAATTGCACTAGATGTTGGAGTTGACAGGTTAATTTTAGGCAGTATTTAGTTCCTGCACTTCCCCAACACTATTCGTACATGAGGAATTATCTTTCATTGTACATATCTAGTACACTTCTTTGCTTGTATGTTCAAGGATTTTAACAAAAATGATCTACTTGAGGTAATGAGAAATATATCTGTGCTGGAAACCTGTTTGCTTTAGTATGATATAGTGTTGTTTTATAGATGATCCTTTTTTGAAATGATCAGAAATCAGAAATTAGTATTGTTTTTCCTTTCTGAGGCTCCATTCATTCGGCAATAATTTGGAGTCTGTCTTGTGATTATGGATAAAGCAAGCAGCAGATGGGGCTAGAGTTAAACCAGATATAAAGCCTGACAGTTATTTTCTGACACAGTCTTACATTTTTCCAAAGCTGTTGGCTGGAGGAAAACAACTGACTGTTCTTATCAGAGGTCTGGACTGATTTTTGCACAGAATTTTGAAATTAGGGCATGGAACTCATGACATACAGCCTCAGGGCTGACCTAGATTCCTGGCATAACCATCAAGCATAAACCACGTCTTAAAACCGCAGTGACTTAATGTTCAGACAATGCACCCAGTGAAAATCCAGCCTACCATATAATGATCTTACGTCCTAACCACCATTCAGACTATAAGTGGTGGAGCAGAAAATTTATATTAGGACAACCTGGAATGTTCTGGTTATAATTTAGAATACAGATATTTCTCGACTTAACCAGTTGTTTAATGACTTTGGATTACAATGACTTTGGAAAAAAATGCTTTATGGCCTGTAAAGCAGTTCCATCTGTCATAAAATGTGCAACCCCCCCACACCCATTATGTCACATTATAGCATCTAGGTGCTTGGCAATCTGTTTGCACTTATGTGTAAATGGGGGGGGAGGAGTTGACCTCAGGGGGGAGCTTTTTTTCCCACTCCATTTGCTTAACAATCCATGATAACATCCCGGTGATGCTTAATGACCATAACTGGAGTGCCAGGATTGTGGTCATTGAGTGAATCAGTCATGTGGGCATCTCACTTAACATCCTCATTGTCCAACAATTGAGATTCCAGTCCCAATTGCTATGGGCATCCTATATTGCCTGAATCCAAACAATTATGGCTTTTTAATCTTGGTTAAATTAATCATGATTTATAATAATTATATGCCATGGACAGTAGTTATGTATAATAGTCTCTAACAGCTTTAAGTTGATTAATAGATACTTTCTGAAAAGGATTAGAAAGTGAGACTTGAGAACTTAGGGTCCTTTAAAAGACTCCGCTGTGGTTTAAGCAAGAGGGCCTAATCCAGGGATAGGCAACCTTGGCTTTTTTATGACTTAATAATAATAATGATAAAGTTGGAAGGGACCTTGGAGGTCATCTAGTCCAATACCCTGCTCAGGCAGGAAACCCTATACCATTTTGGACAAATGGCTGTCCAGTTTCTTCTTAAAAACTTCCAGTGTTGGAGCATTCACCACTTCTGGAGGTGGGTTGTTCCACTGGTTAATTGTTCTAACTGTCAGGAAGTTTCTCCTTAGTTCTAGGTTGCTTCTCTCTTTGGTTAGTTTCCACCCGTTGCTTCTTGTCCTGCCTTCAGGCGCTTTGGAAAATAGCTTGACTCCCTCTTCTTTGTGGCAGCCCCTGAGATATTGGAACGCTGCTATCATGTCCCCCCTTGTCCTCTCTTCATTAAACTAGACATACCCAATTCCAGCAACTGTTCCTTATATGTTTTAGCCTCCAGTCCCCTAATCATCTTTGTTGCTCTTCTCTGTACTCTTTCTAGAGTCTCAACATCTTTTTTACATCGTGGTGACCAAAACTGGATGCAGTATTCCAAGTGTGGCCTTACCAAGGCATTGTAAAGTGGTATTAATACTTCACGTGATCTTGATTCTATCCCTCTGTTAATGCAGCCTAGCACTGTGTTGGCTTTTTTGGCAGCTGCAGCACACTGCTGGCTCATATTTAAGTGATTGTCCACTAGGACTTCGAGATCCCTCTCACAGTTACTCTTATTGAGCAAGGTACCCCCTATACTATACCTGTACATTTGGTTTTTCTTGCCTAAATGTAGAACCTTACTTTTTTCACCATTGAATTTCATTTTGTTAGATAGCGCCTAGTGTTCAAGTGCGTCCAGATCCTCCTGTATCCTAAGCCTGTCTTCTGGAGTGTTGGCTATTCCTGCCAGCTTGGTGTCGTCTGCAAATTTGATGAGTTCCCCATCTATCCCCTCGTCCAGATCGTTGATGAAGATGTTGAAGAGCACTGGGCCCAGAACAGAGCCCTGGGGCACCCCACTACACACTTCCCTCCATGTAGATGCAGTTCCATTGAGGACCACATGCTGAGTATGGCCGGTCAGCCAGCTACGGATCCATCTGGTGGTGATGCTGTCTAACTCGCATTTTTCTATCTTATCAAGTAGAAGGTTGTGGTCTACTTTGTCAAATGCCTTAGTGAAGTCTAAGTAAATTATATCCACAGCATTCCTCTGGTCCACTAATTTTGTCACTTGGTCAAAGAATGCAATAAGATTTGTCTGGCATGATCTGTTTTTGACAAACCCGTGTTGGCTTTTAGTAATGACTTTGTTTGCCTGTAGGTGTTCGCTGATTCATTGTTTGATTATCTTTTCCAGAATTTTCCCAGGTATTGAGGTCAGGCTGATAGGTCTGTAATTTCCTGGGTCCTTTTTCCCCCCTTTTTTGAAGATAGGAATTACATCAGCTCTTTTCCAGTCCTCTGGTAGTTCCCCAATGCTCCAGGATCTTCAAAAAATATAGTTCAGTGGTTCTGAGATCACATCTGCCAGTTCCTTAAGAACCTTGGGGTATAATCCATCTCGTCCTGGTGATTTGAACTCATCTAGGCTGGACAGGTGTTCACTTACCATTTTCTTGCCTATCTTAACTTGTATTTCTATTTTGTTTTTTTATGGTGGTATTTTTGATAGGTTGGTCTGTTTTTTCCCTTTGTGTAAAGCAGTGGTTCTCAACCTGTGGGTTGGGACCCCATTTGGGGTCGAACGACCATTTCACGGGGGTCGCCAAACAAGGCTGTCCGCCATTTTTCCCCTTTTCTTTGGCCACGCCCCTGGCACCTGGTGATGTATAAGTGGTTGGGGGTCACCACAACATGGGGAACTATATTATGGGGTCATGGCATTAGAAAGGTTGAGAACCACTGGTGTAAAGACAGATGTGAAAAAATGAGTTAAATAGTTGTGCTTTCTCCCTGTTGCTTGTCATCTTCTTGCCACTTTCACCCACTAATGGACCAATCGTTTCCTTCACTTTTTTCTTCTTCTTTACATGTTGAAAGAAGCTTTTTTTTGTTATTTTTGACTTTGGTCACTAACCTTAGTTCATTTTGAGCCTTAGCTTTCCTCACTTCGTCTTTGCAGGCTTGGGCTATTTGCTGATATTCTGACTTAGTTATGTGTCCCTCTTTCCACTTTCTATACTTGTCTTTTTTATCTTTCAATTGATCAGAGAATTCTTTATGCAGCCATGCTGGTTTCTTTTGAGAGCTGTTATTTTTCCTCTTTGTTGGTATTGTGGTAGACTGGGCCTTTATTATCTCACTTTTCAAAATTTCCCAAGCCTCTTGAGTTGTTTTCCCCTGGAGGATTCTCATCCATGGAATCCTTCCCAAACCCTCTCTGAGTTTATTGAAATTAGCTCTCTTGAAGTCCAAGACTCTAGTTTGACTGTGTTCTATTGCTTGTGCTTCCATAATGTTGAATTCCAATATTGCATGATCACTTCCTCCCAGGGTTCCTATGGCTTCAACACCTTCTATCATTTCATCTCTGTTAGTGATAATTAGGTCCAAAATGGCTAATCCCCTAGTTCCCTTCTCTACTTTTTGGGAGACAATGTTGTCTGCTAGGTTTGTCAGGATTTGTGGACTTCAACTCCCAGAATTCCTGAGCCAACCATAAAAGAGCCAAGGTTGCCTACCCCTGGCCTAATCACTTCATCTCCCAGGGCTGAAACCTGCAGAAGGCCACCGTCTTGCAATCTGCTTGTGAGGGGCAACTATCTGGAGCACATGTGGGTGTCTCTCATCTCTCATCCTCTCCTTCTCTGGAGATATTTCAAAGAACTGGTCTACTCCTTAGTCATCAGTCATTTTCAGTTTGCCACGCCTCCCCCAAAAGTCTAATCTCAGTACTTTCATCTTTTCTTTATCCTACTTATCCTACTTATACTTTCAGATTTGAGTATAGCACCACTAATAACTATGCAATAAAAATAAGTAATCTCTTTATTTCAGTCATCGATCAGCATAATATAACATTCAAGAATAAAATTATTGGCTGCTTACGGTGGTCATAATTGACCTCTCCCCAAGGGCTTCTGGAACTGCCAAAGGATCAATAAATAGCTGGGGATCAAAAGGGGGTCTGTAAATAATCGGGTCAATAGATAATAAATGATGAAAAGTCAATTTTTTGAGGCATGTGTAGAGTTCCACACCATTCCTACTCCTGAAGGTTATTTGGCTAGTGGAAAGACATTGTTACTCAAGGTAGGATGGTCACCTGCCAGTGAAAGTGGGCTTAAGTTGTCTCTGTTGTTGTTATTCATAGTAGTATAGTACTAAATTATTTTCTTATAATAAATGTTTGGGGATTGATGAACAGTCTGAAACTTTGTTGATCAATGAGCTGAAGAGTTTAGGGACCTCTGACCTGTATGCTAAAAGAATTGACTAAAATTTAGATCACTAGCACAAACTATAAAATCATGATAGGATGACCACTAAGAGTATGTTTTGAAAGGCAAAAGTGAGTATAAAAGAGATAATTTGGGTAAAATTGTAGAATTTATGAACTTAAAGTAGCCATCACAAATTATAAAATTACTATCACTAAAAGAGGTAAACTAATATCAGTATTGTAACTAGCAACTATAAAAGGGCGGTATAAAATAGAAGTTTGTAAATGAATTACAGTAACTTAAAAGGCTAAGCAGCCAATAATGACCAATTATAATAGTTGGTTTCCTGCATTGTTAAGGGGGTCTCTAGCAATTAATAATAATGATAACTATGCATTGTTCCTCTAGTTTCGCAGGGATCTTATTAAAGCCATTCCTGTTGGGATTCTCTCTCTTCCACCCTTCGCCAACTATTTCGTTCTTTTGCTTATGTAAGTAGAATCTTGTCTCCACCTAGATCCTTGACATTAACTGGGAAAATTAGGACTGGGATTAGAGATTTCCAAAAACAAAAACAAAATTCTAGGACTAAAATCTAGAATGGGAAGTTGAAACAAGATTCCAGAAGTCAACCATTTCCGTGTGGTTGTCAAGAAAATTACATGGACACGAGCTTCACACAAATAGATATTTATTTTTATATTAAGTACACCTGGAAATTTTGGCAGGCAACAGGAATGGATTTTTTTCTCATCAACGTTTACATACAGAATTCCTGATTTATGGAATAGGGTTGTTAGTTAGCTTATATTTTAGCAACTACAAAAATAAATTGTAGAAGAACACATTTTAAAAATCATAAAAATGTTCAGACTTAAGTATTTTCAGCCTGGGCACATAGCGAGTTACAATCCCATGTGCTCACATATACCCTGATGCTAAGACTACAAATAATAGTCATATGTTTAGTATGAGTAATTTGGAATACAGCCTTTTTGCTCTCTCTCCTGTCTTTTGACATAATTTCTAAATGCTTTAAAATGCTCTTTTTTTTAAAAAAAAAAGATTGGAAGATGTTTAAGGGGGGGAAAAGATGTGGGCAAAACCCATATCTCAATAGGTAATTTTCCTGCCTTGTTGGCCAGAGAAAATCCTTGGCTTTCATAATTGTTTTTCTAAAAATCATTTTGGAGATGTTAGATAAAAGAAGCATGAATAGGGTGAATTTGTTCTCACTTTTACCAGCTCAGTATGGCTGGATGGCAGGGCAGCTTAGCCTTGCAAAACATTGTAGGTTTTCTTTTTAGAAAAGGAAACAGGACATGAAGATGATTAGCTACAGCAGGTTTAGATTAAAATATGATTAAAGACACTCTGTCTACGAAAAAGCCTGTGACTGCTCAGCATAGAATATGGAATATATTGCCTACAACTGGTGTATTTATTAAATCTTCATGAGTGCAGGATAGCTTACAGACAATATTAAAAGAAATGCATTGGAAAACAAACAGTAGTGGAACTGCAAAGCAGAACAAGAGACAAATAAGAATCACATTTGTTATCAATGGAATTATCAAGGTAAATCTGCTCTGGCACCTAAATTATGGCATCTGGGAAGAGAATTCCAAAGGCTGGAATTTTCCAAGTAGCTTTCCTCCAAGACTGAGGAACTAAATCTCAGAAGGGTATTTGTATTGCCAGATTGGATCCTATATGATAGAAGAAGCCTTATTGGATATGTTGGCAAAATAAATTATCATGTTCTTTTTCTTAAGTAGGTTTTCAGCAGTCCTATGAAGATAATTTAAAAATGGGCATGCAAGACCTGGTTAAATTTCCAAAAGAAGGGTTCCACAGGATTTCGAGTTGTCAGGGCCATGGTTACAGCTGCAAGACTACTGTTTTTTTTTATCCCCTTGGTGGAAATTATCAAGTAAAAGCTTACACTATGGGTGGAAGCTGTAAAATCCGTTTCTTGATACAACATTTGGGTTTCCTTGGCCTAAATTTGGTTGTAAATGTATAATGCACGTACTCCTAAATTTGTATTTGTTGGTTGTCTTGGTTTAGAAGTAAGTCACGTCTTCCAAACAATTTCTCCTTCCCAAGGTATTTATTCCCAAGACAGCTCTTAATACGCCACTTCTGGACTCCTAAACAACAAGCTGAGTTTCTGAACACTTACCACAATATGAGGAGGGAGGCATATACTGAAGTGATTGATGGACTAACACATCTATCTCACTTCCTAGATGATCCTCAGCTTCGCCAACGGATGCTCTATCTCTGCGAAAAGGTACCTCTCTCTCCAAAAATTTCCATTGACAAAGAAGCAATCCTGGATATTTTAAAGTGTTATCCTTAAAAAAAAAAGACTTTTGCTTTTTTGTGTTTAATTCTTTTTCTTGCCACAGCATAGTTCACATATACTAAGCCACTGTTTGCTTAATTATGTTTTACTAAATTGCTACTCTATTTTATAGTGCAATCCAGGTAGTCCTCAACGTACGACAATTGAGGCCAACATTCCCATTGCTAAGTGAGGCTGTTAAGTGAGACAGTTTTGCCTCATTCTGCTATCGTTTTGCCACAGTTGCTAAGTGAATCCTGTCATTAAGGGAATCTGTTTTCCCCCATTGACCTTGCTTGTTGGAAGCTGGCTGGGAAAGTTGCAAATAGTGATCGCATGACCATGGGACAATCCACGTGTCATAAGTGCATACCAGTTGCCAAGTGTCTGGATTTTGATCATGAGAACGTGGGTATTCTGCAGTGGTTGTGTAAAAAGTCAGTTGCTTCAGTGCCGTTGTAATGTAAAGCAGTCACTAAACAATTGTAATTGAGGACTACCTGTACACTCTTGCAATAGTTGGGTTCAGAGATTGTGCTAAACTAGGAACAAGTAGGCCACATCTTGTGAACAAAACTAGAGAATCACTTCCCTGCATCTTTTCTAAAGCATAAGGAAACACTTCTAGAAATTGCTCTTACACAAGATACATTTTTCCATTAATATGCACGCAGGTGAGTCTGTGGCCAAGTGGATAGACAATCCTATATACTTCATCCCATGTAAGCAAAAGCGTAAGAATGTTTCAGTTATTTAGTGGTTTGACCCTGTTGAAAAGACACTGTGTAGATGCACTCATAATGTCAGCATACATTATACTGGAAAGAAACAAAACATATTCTGGTAGCATCTAGTCTTACATGCTGCAATTGTAAGGAGGTACCAACCAAGATGGGTTGGGAAGACTTTAATATTCACATTGTCTGCTGCAGTGAGGCAGAATTTGGTTAAATGGTAAAGAAGAGCCTGGTGGGAAGAGGCGTGAACACTTGTAGTAGTTGGTTTAGTTGTGCACAGGAACAGATCCTACTATATACTTGGGAAAATTGCTTCTCTGTTTCTTAATCTCCAAGGTTCAGGAAGGATTTCATCCAGATGTAACAGAACTTAAAGCTGTGAGGACTTTATTTGTGGGGCATCCCTTTGGTATCCAACAACTCACGGTTCAGCATGTGGTAGGTGCCTTTTAAGGAATGAAATTAAGCTTTAAGAGCCTTGGTGACGCAGTGGTTAAAATGTAGTATTGCAGGCTAACTCATTGCTCACTGTTGGGAGTTTGATCCTGACCGGCTCAAAGTTGACTCAGCCTTCCATCTTTCCAAAGTCAGTAAAATGAGGATCCATATTGTTGGGGGCAATATGCTGACTCTGTAAACCTCTTAGGACTGCAAAGCACTATGAAGAGATATATAAGTGCTATTGCTATTGCTATTTAATCAAAGAAAACATCCAACTTTGTATATACTTGGGAACCGCTTTTAAATCTTGTGTTTGAGACAGAAAAAAAAAATAAAGTTTGACTTTGGGATTTGCTAATTAGATAAGTTTCTTGTTAAAGTAATGGCTGGTAGAGGTTGTAATATTTTTATTCTACTGCCCTGGAAAGAGTTGGAAGTTATTGCTTTTCTTTTTTTTTTTTGCTTCTTTCCCTTTCCCCCACTTTTCTCTCTCTCTTCCTCCCCTTCCCCATTTTCCTACTACTATCTTTATTTTCACTTGTATATTTTTAAAAGTTTAATAAAATTATAATTAAAAAAGGAATGAAACTGGTAACCGCTTAAAAGCCTAATTTATGATGAATCTGTTACTACCATTTGCTCTTTCTGCTCACATGCTTTAGCTCAGTGGTTCTCAACCTGTGGGTCGGGACCCCATTTGGGGTCGAACGACCATTTTACGGGGGTCACCAAACAACGCAGTCCGCCATTTTTTCCCCCTTTTCCTTAGCTGTGCTACTCCCTTTACTCGAATAGAGTCTAATTCTATTGGCTTTCAAAAGCCAATAGGAATTGTCCAGGCTGTCTCTGCCCTGCTGAGCCCGCCAAAAGTCCCATTCTGCAAACGGTGCTGCACCAGTTGAGTAGTCCTCGACTTACGACCGGTTAGTAGTCCTCGACTTACAACCGGTTGAGGATCGCGGCATTAAAAAGGTTGAGAACCACTGCTTTAGCTGAAAGGCTTGAAAAACCAGAAAATTAAATCTCTCCCCACTTAAAAAAATCTTAAATCTCCCATATTCAGTCATGGCTTGGATTTAAGTCATGTTGTGATTGCATCTGCCACTATTGTTCATCCTTACTGCCTTGTCCACAGGCTAATTTTTTTTTCAGAAATGGAGACTCAATGGTAAAACATTTTGATCTGAAAGCCTTTGTGTGCTTTAATGCTATTTTTGCTTTATTTTCCTCAGAAAGTTCTCAGTCGTGTTTTGTTCCTGACGCCTCGCCTGCCGTCTTTCTTCCTGAGAAATCGCTTGAGGAGCCATCTCTCTGAGCTGCATTATTTGGACCAAGCAATGGTGAAGCTAGGAGTAAGCCAGCTGACTAAAGAAGAAGTGCAAGCAGTAAGATGATTGGGCTTTGCAGTTAACTGGGGACTAATTACTATTCATCTGCTGCCTTAATCCTCATAAGCACTGGGCACATTACAAATGAGTAATAGTCATAGTTACCAGTCTCAAAGCCAATATAGACTTTCTGTGACCTATAATGTGATGGCTTATTCAACAAACCAGGTATAAATTAGTTTTGCATTTTGTGGGCACTATCTTACCTTGCTTTTAGTTGTGCAGGAATGCTGGGAAGAATGGAGGGGTATGTCTCCCTATCCATCTTCGCAGCTGAGAGATTCTCTAGGCCAGTGTTTCTCAATCTTGACAATTTTAAGGCATGTGGACTTCAACTCCCAGAATTCCACAGCCAGCATTGCTGGCTGTGGAATTCTGGGAGTTGAAGTCCACATGCCTTAAAATTGTCAAGGTTGAGAAACACTGCTCTAGGCATATAGACAACATTTAGAGGGATTAGCTCCTTCTCCCAATGACCCTAAATGTACTGCTTTTTAGCCCGTCAAAAATATCAGTAAAATTCCAAAGGGGCTGTATGCAAGTTGAGGGCTATATGCCTCTGATCTAGAACATTATATGTCAAAGCAGGGCATCGATTAATGGAATACCAACACGGCCTTTTCTTGGATTCAGTGATTCTTAGTGAAATGAAAGCATCTTGCTGCATTCCAAGGGGTCCCTCTGATTTTTTGCAGGCGTGCTATACCCGTGGCTTGAATTCCGTTCATCTTGATCCAGATGATTGTAGGGTTTGGTTGAACCAGTGGCTATCACTCTCCTGTTCACTAAGAGGTAAGATTGGCTGAACTATTGGAAGGAGGATTAGTATTACAACTATTCTGGAAAATTTCTCCCATCAGAACACACACATACACACACACACACACACACACACACACACACACCCCTCCCTGCCTAACTAGGTGTCTGTGGAAATAAAACCTAAAAAAGGAGCTAACCATAGATAAGTCAAGAATATTAAAGTAGAATCTCTTAATAATTAAAAATATTATTGCGGAGTTAGTGTCACAAATTGTACTGATCATAAGCCATACCACAGTGAGATACATAATACATGTAGTCCTCAATGATATTTGAGATGGGAACTTCCATCACTAAGTGATGTCAGAAAGCAATGTCATGTGACCGCATTGCTTACCAAAGGCAACCCTGGCAACCCTGTTGCCATCGTTAAGCAAGGACCTCCCCACAACTTCTCGCTGGTTTCCAGCAACCAAAGTCAGTGGGGAAGCCGGCAGGAAGTTGCAAGTCCCACGTAGCTCACAAGCAGGCCAGCGGACAGCTAAGCGGCAGCTGGGGAAGGTTGTGTGGGTGACAAAAGTGGCTGCTGCCACATGGAGGCGTGTACACGGGTGGCCAGCACAGTGCCAACCCAGTGCAGCTGGCTGCTGCTGAATGGAGGAGACTTACCCCAGCAACTTGCAGTCTTCCTTGCCGGCTTCTTCATTGACTTTGCTTGTAGAAAGCCACAGGGAAGGTTGCAAACCATCATGTGCCCATGGGATGCTGCAACCATCATTAATGCAAGACGGTTGCCGAGCGCCCAGTTTACAGTGACATGGTACAGAGAGTGCGGGGGCAGCCAAAATACAGGCTGGTCGTAAGCTGACTCATTTCAGCGCTGTTGTAACGCTGAAGGGTTGCTGAATTAGTGGTTTTTAATCAAGGATTACCTATAGAAAAAACTTGGGATTCGGAAAGTCAGATAAGTAGTATTGTATACCACACAGCAGAAGAGAATTTCTTTGGGATATTAGCTTGGTATTACTGGGATGAAAAACCTTAATTTTCTGGAGTTCCAGTCAAGGAAATTCTCTGCAGTGGTAAATGTCAGACATTAAACAAGCAACTCTGAAAGAAGTTGGAAAATTGTGGTGGAAAATGGGGTTTCTCCTAACAATCCAGAAATATATAAGTAATGCAGGTAGTCCTTGACTTACAATCACAATGGAGCCCAAAATTTTTGTTGCTAAGCAAGAAAGTTGAGTTGTGCCCTGCTTTATGACATTTTAGCCATAGTTGTTATGTGAATCACTGCAATTATTAAGTGAGTCATGCGGCCATTAAGTGAATCTGGCTTCCCCCATTGACTTTGCTTGTCAGAATCCGCGGGGGAGGTTACAAATGGTGATCACGTGCAACTGTCAAGCACAGTTATCAAGTGCCTGAATTTTGATCATCTGACTGGGGATGCTGCAACAGTCGTGTGAAAACCGGTCATCAATCACTTTTTCAGTGCTGTTATAACTTCAAATCATAACTGAATGGTTGTAAGTTTGAGGACTATTTGTATCCGTATATATTGTCAGTGGAGTTCTTGGAATGCTTTATCTCATCTTATCTAGTCTCCATTTAACTGTTTCAATTTTGTGTGCATAGTATTTAAGATGGATCATTATAACATTTAACTTGGGCTAGATGATATCCTGCACTTTTGAGTGCTCTTCTGCTTTAGTTTAATAAATGACACAAAATGAAAATTTCAGTTTCCATTTTTAATAAAATCTAAGGCTTCTGACCAGATGAAAGTATTCAAAGATCAAAATCCCAAGTGAAGAACCCAGTTAAGGAGAACTTAGCTTATTTTGGTGTCTTTTATGCCCTCCTATCTCATTAATATGTTCTCTGATCATTTGTCCCTGATCTCCATTTTTCTTCATGTCTTATTTAATCTTATAATAGTGTTTTTTAAAAAAGGAAACTCGTTATATGTTCGATTGCCAGTTTGACCCTATGTTTTTGGATATGTGATACTTTGTATGGCAATACAAACTCAAAAAAACAGAAGAATTTCAGTCATTTACACTCTTAAAAGTTGTTAAAGGAGAGGAGTATACAACACAAAAAATAAAGGTTGGCTGAAAAATAAGAACTAATACTTCTGTAGGCTTGGTTATACAGAGGATAAAAACTAGTCACATTTTATTTCTTGAAATACAGTCCACATTCTTGTTAAGGGAGGTATAAAGTGGTTAAGTCTTTTTTAAAAAATAGATGTAAATAATTTAACTGTGAAAGGCATCTAACTGAAATAGTTTGAAGCAGTATACCAGTATCATGAAGAAAAAAACTCAACCGTAGCTGATCCCCACAAAAGTTTTAACTAATTCAAATATACTACTTTGGGGGCAACATGGGCCATTTCTCTATTTAATGAGTATCAAATTGTGGTGGGAATTTGTCATGTCAGAAGTTGTGATGCTGCTACAAATAAAAGTTAATAGAAACAAATGGACCGATGCATTGCAAGGAGGCGGGGGGGGGGGAGGGGAAACAGAGAAGATTGTTGTAAATAGAAAAATACCTAGACTGTAATACCAGGAAAGATGAGTGTCCTGGCAGTAAAAATAGTGAAGTTCTTAACTGTAAAAACATAGCAAAATTAAAATTGTGCTTAACCTTCTGAACCAAAATAATTTATGTTTAAAATGAATGGGCTTTCTCAGATTTATTGAGGATGCAGTAAATGAAGCAGGTAAGTCTTGTTCTTCCTAATCTTCCAGAAGGGGTCATTCTAAACGGAGGTTGTCTCCTTCCCATTTCTATGTCAGAACAGCTGTTTGCAATCAAAATTAACAGTGTTAAAATGTTTATGAATATAATCCAGTGCAATAGAAAGCTATTATTTTTTCAGATTCTGAGACGTCGCTCTTGGCACATGCGATGGTTTTACTTTCTACCAACTTTACTCCTTCCTCTAAGAGCTAACCGGAAACAACCCCTTCCTGGATTATTGAATATATGTTGTATATTGACTTTTGGCTGAACCAGAAAGGGGAATACATTTTCTTTTCACTGACTCAAAAAAAAAAAAAAAAAGAAAAGAAAAGAGGGGAGGTGGGGGTGGAGAGGCAAGAATGCAGCAGAAGAAACTCCAGTGAATTTGTTAGTGTAGAGGTGACACTAGAAGAAACATTGAAAAATGAATAAAATTACCCCACTTTTGGGGGAATTTTGAGAGAAGACCATTGCTAAGCTAGCACAACAAAATACCTCTGCAGTATATTTCACCAACTTTGCATTTAAGCCTGGTTCAGTGATGACCACACAGGCCCCTTTCTTGGATTGTCAGAGTATAATGCAGGGTTGTTCAGACTTGTCAGTCCAAAGTCTTGTAGCTAATGCTTGAAGCAAACTCTTCTGCTGGAAAGAAACATCTACTCCTTCAAATGGCTACAATGAAGTTGGTTTCATGTTAGCCAGGAAGCCGTGCAAATATAAAAAAGAATGAATAGTTGCAGAATACACATTCTGCAGAACACAATGCAGCTTATTTGCTAAATGTACACTATTACCACTTTCTATGATTTCAGTCTTGCCAGCTAAAGGGGAGGAGATCCACATGTCTTAATGTTTGCTTCTTCCATCCCTTTTGTCTTAAAATGTTCCAGGGACTGTATTTCTCTCCAGTTGCAATTGTTAAGAAGGAATAGGATGGAAATATGAAAGAGGCCAGTATTGAAGCCTCTCTCCATTTGGCTGTATTACCCACACCCACAGACACATACATATCCCTTTTCTCCTTTTTGATGCTGATTTTGTAGGACTTAGTGGTAAAGGCCCAAGGCTGCAAAAGACTGGGAGGGCACAGCTGAGATAGCACAGTTCACTCCTATCAAAAGGGAAGACTCAATCTTCTGTGGTCTCTCAGGAGCCATAAGATTGCAGGGTTGTTTTTTTGTTTTTGTTTTTAATTATGAAGCGTAGCAGACTTGAAAAATCCTTTTGGGGGTGGGGTGGGAAGGAGAGGATAAAAAAAAAAAAGACTGCATGTTGTATACCAGAAGCTGGTATTCTGGATGGAATGTGTAAGCTGAGGAAGTCTCTATTTGAGCTAATCATAAAATGTGTGAGAAATTTGTATATTACGTGTATTTTATTTGAAAGATAAATGTTTACCATTAAAGATGGCAAGATGGCTAACAGTAAAAAATGATCAATCTTTTAATTGTGGAGTCTTGAAGTCAGTCTATTAACATATCACTATTATGACTCCTCTTGAGTACCCGAGCTTGAGTAATAAATTACTGGAGCCACTAAAGCTATTCATGTTTTCCCCTATAAAGTAACCAATGGCCACTAGGATCATGACCCAAGTCTTTGTTGTGTACACCTTACTCCAAGTAATATGATCAGTCTTTTTGAAAGAAAATCTATGCAAGGGAATAAACCCCTTGATGCGTGAAAAGTGTTTTCCGTAAGGTTTCACTATGAGAGAAATTGATAAATTTGTCAGAAAGCAAAAATTAAGTCAAACTGCAAAAACTACCTTAGAGGGGTGACATCTACAATGATCCAATGCAGAAGCTCCCCATCATGATGAAACATTCCACATACTTTGATATTGTTTAGTTCCTTTAGACAGAAATGATTGTTTTACAAATGCAGACTCTGCAAGTATTAATCATGTTGCACTTTGGCTAAAAACAGCTGTGAAAAATGTGTGTGTACACCGAGTCTGTAACTGAATAGAAGGCAGCTACAATTTTGAGAACAAAATTCACTTAATGTAAGTTTACGCATTTATTTGTTTTTACACTTAAATATCCTCTTTAAATACAGCATTATCACAATGAAAAGAACATAAGAGGCAAAACAAAATGTAAAGGACCTGACAAGCTTTGGATTCACATTGAAAATGCCACCTGTGTATTTCCTGCAGGAAAGCAGAGTTATGAAGTTTATCAGTTGCAAGTGACAAGAGGACAGGGCTAATACCAATTATATCAGACCAGGGCTTCATTAATAGAAGTCTCCTCCAGGTAGTAAAAGGGCTGTCCTGTAAACAGTTCAGTAGCACCAAAAGAAGGGAAGGGAAGGGAAAACAGGTGAATGTACCACCACATCAGAGTAAGAAAGATAGTTTTGTTACTAATAACAAAAGGGAGACAGGCAAGAGAAATAGGCCTTTTTGCATTGAAGAACATTCTTTAAAAACAAAAGCTTTCTAAGAAGCCCAGCCTCTACTACAGGATTTAGAAATAAAATTCTGTCATTTGAGATCAGTGCCCTTTCTTTTTTCATAATGCTCAGGAAGGAGTGTCTTTTTTTTTCTAGCCATTTTTCTACAAATAGCTATTTAATGTCTTTTTCTGTCATAACTAAGCACTCTCATGGAAATGAAAGCCAGTGTAACATTTAATAGTTCAGATGCTATGCTGAGTTTCTGTTTTCTTCCCTATTGTCTCCACCTCTGGGTAAGAATGTAGTATTTTAGTACTTGGTTTCTACCAAGCCATTACATTAATCATTGCATTCCAGAATGTCAGTCACAAGAAATGTTTCTGCACTATAAAAATGGAATCCTGGTATTTAAGTGTGAAGCTGCTTCCATTTTCAGAAATTGTATTCCACCAAACCATCTGTCAGTATTGGCAGGTGGCCATGGGGTGCAACAGCTTAAGCACTCAACAGGAGGAGATTCTTATTACTGCCAGATCCACAAGAATTGAGGTAAGCCCCATTTAAAAACTTGATTCTAGAGCTCATCATGCCCAATCCCCAGAATAACACCATGCAGTTAAATGCAGCAAAGCCTCTGGCTTTAGCCACTTACTTTAGAGCAGATCTGCTACACAATAGTTCCTAATTCAGGGCTATAAAGAGTATAGCTGGAACAATGGAGGAATAATATAGGGAAAAGACAAGTGCATCTTGTCCTGAAACAAACCTACAGGTACCTATGTCACTGTAGTTGTGTAAAAAAGCAATTATGGGGTCAGTATTATAAATACCCAAGGTGCTTTCAAATAGAGAATTTTATAAGAAATGCCTTCTCTTTGACCTAGATACCTACAAAGCTATGTATTCGATGTAGGAGGAAATTTTTCTATTCTGTTTGATTCAGATGCGAAGAGCACTACATTTGCTACAGTGAGAGTTGCATCTGGAATCAGCTGCCTTGAAAATAAATCTAGCCTTTTATAGCACCATTTGTTTTGTAAACTACAAATGTGAGAATTAGGAAAGACACCAATGGACCCTCAAATCCAGGAATAGTCTGGGGGTAAAGCAGCATGGAATAAAAGCCTAAATACCCCCTCAGGAATGAGACCAGTGTATAGGAAGGTAGGTTGTGTGTGTGTGTGTGTGTGTGAGAGAGAGAGAGAGAGAGATGCAACAAGGTGTGTGACTTTTTAAAGACAAAAGGACATTTTAAGGCTGCACATTCATCCTCTTACATTTTAAAATGTACAAAGGAGACATTTGCCCACTAAACATGGCATTGCTTCTAAACAATCCCCTGAAAGAGGTAGCGATGAGAAAGCAATTAAGTACTTAGTAGTCTGGCAAAGTACAGGAGCCCTGGCTGCATACTATGTGCTAATCAGCACAAAGAGAGCTTGGGTGAGATAAGGTGAAAATCAGACAGGAGTCTAGTACTGAAGTCTTTGCATCTGTTCTGAAGCCTGGAATGGGCTGAAAGGGTGTTACATGTCAACAGTCTTTCTCTCCTGCCGCCTACACAGCATTTGCTTGTGTTTACTTTATCTTACACGGAGTCACTTTCAGGAGAATAGGCTTTTCTGGATGCGCTGGCAGCACTGATTGCTCATCACTGATCGTTAACAGCCAAGAATTTTAGTAAGACTTGGCTTGTTCTGCCTACTCCCAAGCAGCTTTGCAATTAAGGGACATAAGAAGCCCGAGCCTGTTAAATCTTTCCAGATTCAGCATCTAGAAACTTACGTGGCCCAGCATTTATATAGATCTAGTTATATGCCTGAAAAGCACAAACACCTATTTAAGTTCTGATGGTGCCTGTATTATTTCTCAGCTGGGAGGTAGGTAGGCTACTTAAATCCCACCCTCTTATGCATAAGGAGTTATGGGTAACTGAATTACCCAGAAGCTTTTGTGCAAGTCATTGTAAGTCTTGAGCAGTCTGAAAAAAGAAAAGATTCCTAAATACAGGGAAACCAGTTCTTGCTAAGCCCCAGCCCACGTAAGAGATACACCACAGGGCTGTAATATGAGCTGGGTCAGAACAGGTGACGACAGAGAAAGGCAATGATTATCTGCTGTTTACTAGAAGGTAGAAGAAGAAAAGGATGCTCCGGGTAAGCTGGAAGAGAAAAGTGCTTTTGTTATCCTAGATTGGTCATAGGGCCGAGTGGCAGCTTATAACGGCGTCCTTTCTCCCTTTATTCCAAGACCAATTGGAACAATTGACACACTTCACTGGGAGGGGGATTGCAGGTGCCACCTTATTGCACATTTACTGAACCCTAATGCTTGTGACCCAGCAGGCTGCAGTTTTACTGCACACAGACTCCTGTGCCCTTTCAAGTCATCCAGAATGCTAGGTTGCTAAGCAAGGCGCAAGGGGACAGAAAGCTTTCAACATCACCTCCAAATTCTTGTGCAACTAGAATGGAAAAGACTGAGACAGTGAAAAGGGAAAACTGATTCGTAAAACTATGAGGCAAAAGGTTAAGTACTTTGTAGGACTCTGCCCACCCAAACTGGCAGTTATTGGACCCCACCTGATCCTAGGGCATTCAGTGTTTACAGAATCAGATCCCCAAAAGGGTTCCAATCGGAGGTGACAGATTGCAGCTCAGGATCAGAGAGTCAGTGACACGTCTTGAGTCACATCATGTCCGTAAACATTCAGCATTTTTTTTTAAAAAAGTTAATTTAAACTTAAATCAGTTCCCAGCCAAGGCCAGCAAAAAGGGCCCGTGAACATGTTTGGGTGAAGCTACTGGCGGGGGCGGGGCAGAGGCTCCGGGATGAAAATTATTTTGTACGACAGTTGCATGCCAAACTGTAGGTGTAAGCTAGTCATGATCAAAGTTAATTCATAGTGAATTTAAAAAATACATGGGATCCTTCCAGGGAACGAAGGGCAGCAAATGTCACATAAATAAGAGGCTGCAGAGCTTAAGCTGTGTAACTGGTTAGAGCAGTTCAAGCAAGTAAGGTCACCGTTACCAAGACACAGCACTGAAAGTGACAGACAGGGATGGGCGGCGGTGGCGGTGGCAGCAGCAGCTTCACTTGGGATCAGCAACTGGAGGGAGAGATTCCACCACGCATAGAGACTGGTTGACGTCATGAAGTAGTAACAGCGTGTTCTCTTCTGCCTGCCCTCCAACCCATCCAGCACTTTAGAAAAGGCAGCTTTGCTCTATTGCTTCCATGAGACACATTCACGTTTGGTCCTTGTAGGAGGGAGTCTAGGCCTCCCCTACAAAGTTCCATCGCCTATGGGTCCAACCTCTTCAGAACCAGGAGGCTGCCCTACTGGGTGGACAGGCCCTCCTACTCTGAGGCAGCCGTTTAAGTGCTCAGTTTTAGGCCCTTATATGGTGGAGCCCACACAAAGCAGCCCCTTCTCCTTTCCCTCCCCCACCCAATATCAAACCATTCCCAATGGCTGTGGCCATTTGATAAAAACCGTTTTGTCAATAAATAAACATCAAGACGATGGGTTGGGAATTGTCACACGGTCAGAGGAGGGCCCAAAGAGCTTTCCTCAGAAGAGGAGAGCTCACAGGCCCTCTCTGGAGATTGCGGCACCAGGTTCTGGGGCCGCAAACTGTCTTGTGGCACCTCTGTGTGGAGTGGCAAGCTTGGCAGAGGAACTTCAGGCTGACAGCTTTCAGAAGACGGGGGCTCAAAAGGTACAGCAGCCTTCCCTGTTTCTACACTGCTGGTGGCTGTGGCTCTGCCACAAGACACCAGTGAAGTCACAGGGACAGAGTAGATGCTTAGCTCCTTCTCCTCTGTGTAACGAGGGGTCCCCTCGGGCTCCTCGGCTCTATTTTCCCCCTTCACCCCCAGCACTGACCTTTGGTCAACCTGATAGTATACAACGGGCCCATTGTTCAAGTAGGGTCGGCTGCCCTCAGCCGAGCTGGCTTGCTCAGAACTGTCCGTGAAACACAGAACAGAGGAACCTGGTGGCAGCTGAGCTTGAATGAGGATTGGCGTGGCGAGGCTTGGGCACATCCCTTCGGAGACAGAAAGCGGCTCCTCCAAAATGCACACCCCCAGGCTTTCCATGCTGGAGCCACTGCTAGAGTCTTCCTCAGCCTTCAGCCGCTCCAGCTCCTCAGCTGTCTGAAGATGCATGACTGCCGTTTCATTCTCCGCCATGAACTCCTGGAAATCCTGGGTCTCTGGCGACTGGCTTCCCAGCCAGTCACTGCCGGAGCTATGAGGGGTCTCTTCATCCAGAGTCTGGGCGGCCCGGCTCACCTGCCGTTTATTCTCTAGCTCTAGTTTCATAATGGTGTGCAGGTAGTGAGTCCTCACCCGGATGGGATTGAATTCAATTCTCCCAGCCATATTCCCACAACCATCTCTGGAACAGCCGCATGGGAAGGACATTCGGTCCACCTAGGTGGGGGAAGCGAAGGACAGTGAAAACTGTGCCTGTGTGAGAACTGAGGAGGTGAATGGCAGGATGGAAGCTTGGCTAAAGTGAGAGCAAGTGAACAGATGGAAAATTAAGTCAGATGGAAAATGTAAAATCCAGGTAAGCGGTTATCAAAAAGCGACTGGCCAGAGAGCCCTCCAGCAACCCAGAATCCCCCCGTTCAATTATTTCCCCCCCCCCGTTAACCTATCTATAAATCTTGTTATTTCAAGGAGAAATCAAAAGAAATAAAGAATGGCCTGGAGTATGTCTGATTCGATCTATTGTGAAAGACAGAGTGTGCTCTTTGACACTTCATTTATCAAACAATCAAATGCTCTTTTCAGGATAAAAGCACTTTCAGGAAGGAGGATCTGAAATCCTTCACCAGAGCTAGCCGTTTAGTATGCAAAAGATAGGGTGCAAAAGAGGCAGAGAAAGTGAGAGGGAATGACTTTGCCAAGAAAATATTAAGAGCAGAAATGCCAGTGCACACATTCCACGGAAAAAGCAAAATGCTACTCATGAGAACAAAGCAGAGCATGAAATCCAGTTCTGGAGGCATCACCCAGCATCTTAGATGTTGGGAATCAAAACTGAGGTAACTAAGACTTCCTGTCTTTTGACTTCTAGATTCTGAGCATCCTTTTGCCTCTTCGTTTTGTCTTAAGAAGCAAAATACTGTAAATCAAATACTAAGAAAATACGGTTAAAATTGCACAAATGCTGCATAATTTATGTTAACATTTGAGCAGATTCTTTCAAGCACTTGTTTCATAGAGCAGCCAATAGAGGGAAGCAGAAGAATGGTGGATCCCACACGTATAACCACGGTCACTTCACATCATCCTGGAAAGCTAGTGCTACTTTCCTCAAGACCTTTCCCCATGGCTGCTTCTTGCCATCTGTTTTTCTCCACAAACTCGAGCAGCATCTTCCCTCCCGAATTAATTCACTTCTTTTTTTTTTAACTTGGAGCATCTAAGGGGGACAATATAACCTGTCACCCTTTAAGACCTTTGTAGGTGGGCAGAGTATAGCTCTCTTTAAATCACCCCTTATAGGCTGGGACTCAACACATGAAATAAGGTTTGAGTGGACCCCTCGCCATATCAAAAAGACACACAGGCAACGGGAGATATAGTTCAGGCCAAAGCCTAGCGGTTTCTTCCCCACTGACCTGGCATTTAATTCCAGCCTGGCTACAGGCACAGGCCTCAGGGTCACAGTACAGCCGGCAGTCGCACCCACATTCTTCACGTGAGAGGCGGATGGCCCGAAGTTCTTGTTTTTCTTCTGCATCGATGCGATGGACACCAGAGGCTCGAAGTAGAGCTCGCCGCCGCTTGGTAGGCAGTGGCTGTAAGAAGAAGTAGTCATCCACCTCCACGTTCTCTACATCGAGGTCATCATCTGAGACGTCCTCAAGGGTCAAACCATCAGCCTCTTCTGACTCCACCGTTCCGTTCTTGGTCAGCTTAGGGGAGGGTGTGGGAAAGAACAGAGAACACACAGACACACACCAGCAAAGTTAATCTCGAAATTGAAATCCCATCAGTTTTCAGTCTGGAAAAAAAAAAAAAAAGACAAATGATTTCCCTGAGTTTAACTGGGCTGCAAGGGTCACCCATTCCCTCCAAATAACCGATTCCTCCCAAGCTGTGAGTTTTGACAGTGATGCAGCTTTCTGCACTGCCAAAGCTGGAATAACCTCAAAGCTTGCTCTGTTCTCCCTGAACAAACTGCCTTTTATTTTGTCTGGACAGAGAGGGAGCAAGTTCTAACAGCAAACCAGCTTTATATGCACAGGCCAGAGCACCATTAGTTCATGTTCTGGCCTTTTCTTTCTCCTTTGCTTGCACAACCCAACATCCAGAGAAAATAGGGGTAAATTCTGACAGTGGCTCACCTTTGCACATTGCAAGCCTTCAACCTACCACACAAGCCATAGCCTTGTTAGAAAATATGGGCTTTGTTTGATCAAACCAGCTGTTGGATTGTGCAGGCAGATCACAATCAATTAAAGAATGGTAGTTTAGTTCTTTGCAAATTCCTTAGTTCCAAGCCCACCCCTTTTTAACCTTTATCCAACCCATCTGTCCTTAAAATTGGCACCTTCAAACAGAAAGATATCAGAAGGAGATATGTATTTCATTTAGCTTATTTGAGGTGGGAAATTTCAAAACATGGTTTGGACAATGGTAACCGCCATACAACCCCGTACTGTAGATCTCATTTCCCCCCCCCCCCCAAGATTCAGAGGAGATACATATAGATGCCTATAGAGTAGCACATTTTTGAAGCCAAAATCCCATGTTTGAATTTGACATTTCTAGATAGTGGTATCTAAAAGCAGGAGGAATCCTTTCTTATCGGTGTAAACCAGGGGTAGGCAACCTTGGCTCTTTTATGACTCGTGGACTTCAACTCCCAGAATTCCTGAGCCAGCATGGCTCAGCTTGGAAGCCTCTCCCTTTCCCCTCAGCATGGCTGGCTCAGGAATTTTGGGAGTTGAAGTCCACGAGTCATAAAAGAGCCAAGGTTGCCTACCCCTGGTGTAGACCATAATCCTTTAAATTTTTCACTTTGACAAACTTTGTGTTATATTATTTACACAGTGAATATAGATAACTAGTCCTTGAGTTACAACCATGTGTTTGGCAACCATTCAAAGGTACAATGGCATTGACAAAAGTGACTTATGAATGATCTTCACATTTATGACTGCTGAAACATCCCATAGTTATGTGATCGCATGGCTTGGGCAACTGGCATGTATTTATGACAGTTGAAACATCTCAGGGTCGTGTGATCACCATTTGCAACCTTCTCCACCAACATCTGACAAGCCAAGTTGATAAGGGGAAGCAGATTCGCTCAATGACAGCAAGCTTCACTTAACAACTGCAGTTGATTTCACTTAACTGTGGCAAAAAAGGTAGTAAAATCAGGTAACCACCTTTATGTTTAGCAACAGAAATTCTACTCCCACTTGTGGTTGCTAGTCCAGCACTACCTGTACACTTAGCAGAACATTAAAAAGCAAGAAAAAGAGAAAATAAATACAGTGTCTGTTTTAAGTGGGAAGCAAAAAAAAAAAAAAAAAAAAATCTGAACCATGGGCTACATCAGGCATGTCAAAACTGCCGGCCTGCGGGCCAGATGCGTCACATCGAAACGGCACCCACCCCATTCCTGGCAACAGGGAAAAAGTCCCAATACGTTGCGCGACATCATGTGACATCATGAGTTTCACATGTCCGGGCTACATGGAAGCAGTATTTATATCTTTACCAGAAAAAGGAGTTATTCTTTTTGTAGCTCTTTCCCTCATTGATTGCAACCCCAATTTTGCTTTTTTTGCCCATCCCCTTTTTGCCCATTTTTTTTAAAAAATATATATTTATTTGGTTTGTATACCCTGTCTAAAATGCAATAAAAATTAAAAAAGGAACATTCGTGGCAAAAACAAGGCAAGCAATAGTAGTATTTCATCAGAGCAGCCATGGTATTACAAAGGGCCATTCCTGAGAGACATGATGCAACACAGCTGAAGGCTGAGGTGAGCGCTAAACTCTGCTCCGGCACTGCAATCCTGTCTCCTCCATCTTCTGAGGGAAGCGGTCAGTGTGACAGGTGGAGTTTGGATTTGGGAATTCTAGAACCTTCCGAGGTCTGAGGGTGACCTTGATCCAATCATTACATCAGACTGTACTGAGACACTAAACACATTTGCAGCTTGATATTTCTTACAGCAAACATGAGGGATGCTACAGTTCGCATTGCTGGCCATGTGGAAAGCACAGTAATCTTTCTACTGGCAGACACAGCCTGTCCTCAAGGGCAAAGCAGAAGGAACACATGGCTGATTTGTGCCTCATACAAACATCCCCCCCCCAATCGTCTGCTGAACAGAGTACAAATTTGTTTCACCTCCTATCTTTGGAGGGGAGAAGACTTGTGTGAAGCTTTTTTGGCAGAGACATGGCAACTAGAGGGAAGAGGATGCCGTAGATTGTTGTAAGATAACAAATAAGCCTTGGAAGGTGGCTGAATAAGGATCAGATATGTGAGAAAGCTGAATTGCCATTAAAAATGACAAGGAGTTGTCTATAAGAAATATAGAAATGAAACCTTTAAAATGTAGCCGGTAAGATCTGTAACATTTCTGTGCACAAACAGACTGTGAAAGAGAAAAATGGATTTTCAGAATGCCGAATTCTGTGTGGAATATACAAAACACGCCTGTTTTAGAAAAGCGCTTTGCATGTTTTCCATAGGGTTCAGGAACACCACTGTCATGTTACCAAAGCGGTAAGTACTTTTTTGGAATTTGGGCCAGTTATTAACTATCAGCCCAATCTACCTCTCAGGGTTGTTTTAGTGGGAAAAACAGGAGGAAGGTGTGTTGGATATGTTTGCTGCCTCGAGTTATTTATAAAAATAATAAAGGTGGGAAATAATAAATAAATAAGGAAGCAGGCTTCTTTTCAGACACACTCCACCTCAATCTACAACAGTGTTTCTCAACCTTGACAATTTTAAGGCATGTGGACTTCAACTCCCAGAATTCCACAGCCAGCAATGGATGGGGGCGGTATCCAGGACAGGATGCTCGTTCATACAACTAAAAACACACCAAAAACAGCCACCATGGAAAGCCAGCAAGTTAGTTAGCAAGTTATAACCCAGATCCTTCTCTTTGATGTGCAGGTTTTCTACACTCACCTTCTGGAGAAGGTGGCACATGCATAAACAAGGACAGATCTTATAAGGACAAACCTGTGCAGTTCCGAAACGGGTTTCCTTCAACAACTATAAGAAGTAGGCCAGAGTTGCAGGACTGCCGAGTATTTGTCCTTTCTGCTAAGCTGGTTGTCATGGTAGCAAGAGAATGATTGGAACATCTATGTTTTTTGACAGAAGCATTCAATCCAGTAAGGGAAACCCAGTTACTAGGCAACCTACAGGACACACCAACCAAGCCTAAGGAGATGGATAGAACAGGAAGCTTGCTGGAGGAGGCTAAAAGGGAGAGGCTTTCGCTGCAATTGCTGAGCCTTCCCAGGAATCGACTTGACACAAAACAAGAGGCTAGAAGACTGGTTGGCATCGCCAACAGTACTTGTCTCTTGGCTGTGAGGGTTCCCCTGCTGCTGGATGGCAGCTCTCCTCAGAAAGCCCATCTTTGACCCTTCCTCACCAAGCCCCAGAGGGAAAGCTCTTGCCAGGTTCGCATTCGTTGGCTTCAAGGAGAAATTCTTCAATGCTCACTTTCACATTACCAGCTGCATTTCTCATATTCCAATCCAGATGGAGGGCTGTATGCAGTCTATGAAATGTGGGGAAATCCAGGGAAAAATGGGCTTCAGTTTGGGGTTGCGGAATTAACATAATGGAGTAGACAGGAAAGAAAACCAAAAGGCAAAATAATTAGAACTGCGTATTGTGAATGCTATTTCTTAATAGCTTACTGCAGAGGCAGACAAGTAAAAGAGTCCAGCAAATTCACAAAAGTACCATGTGATTATCTACCGGCAGGTCTTCTCTACCACTTGCCACAGGTAGGCCTGAGATGAACTAACCCAGGGGTAGGCAACCTTGGCTCTTTTATGACTCATGGACTTCAACTCCCAGAATTCCTGAGCCAGCTATGCTGGCTCAGGAATTCTGGGAGTTGAAGTCCACGAGTCATAAAAGAGCCAAGGTTGCCTACCCCTGAACTAATCATATCAAATTGGGAAAAGGATTACAGGTGTTCAAAATCAATTCCCAATCCTGCTATATTTGCTACATATACATCACAATATGGTCAAGCCACAGCGCCAAAAACTGTGCAAACGAATAACCCAAAAGGACCTTTTCTGCCTGCCAAAACCCTACCTTCATTTTCTTGGCATGAAGCTTCTCCTCTTTCAGGTGTTCTCGAAGGATCTCACGGTGATTCACTTCCTGCTCTTGGGCAAATTCACCCAGGGTATACCTGCGGACAGAGTTGTGCCGCTGGGCCATGCCCAGGGAACTGCCCCCTTGGCTAGGAACGCTGGTAAATCCCTGACGCCTTGCGAAGTAGTACACCGTCACCTGATCGAAGCGCACATTCTTTCTACGCAGCTGTTTCTGCCTTTTTAAGATGGAGGTTGCTGAGATGTAAGAAAGCAAAACAGAAACACCGATTGACAATTGAAGCAAGTGTGTGTATGTGTCTCCTTTCACACAGCCCATTTCATATTTTCTTCACGGTTACGGAGCACCCCCAGCAAATGTTGTTTGAAGAATGTGTCCTCCGCCATAGAAGCTTTCAAAATCTTCCGCATTGATATATCTGCCGCTTCATTCCTAAGCACTGGACAGAATTCTCAGAGCATGTTCCAGGATATAAAGAGCTCTGGCCGAGCCTGCAGGGTTTTACTGTAGCTCTGAACAGCCAAGAGTGAAATCTGTAGCCTATTTAAAATTCTGGCTATGCACGGCAGAGGCATATTAGTAGTGACAGACAAGCGGTCTTTCCAGAAATCTGGGAAATACCGAGAAATCTTTAGGCTCTGTAGAAATACATTTTTCAAACGCAACTAATGGTGTAAAACAACAGGCATGGCACTGTTTTGTCAAGCCAGGTCCTTATCCAGCAAGTCATCTTTCACTTCTAACCTCTTTCTCCAATCATATGAAGTTAACATAGGCAAGCCTATCTGAGGGGCAGAATGTAAGTTGTTTGAACTATCGGCTATTCTACTGAACTAAGACTAAAATCCTGGAACAAATAGCTGATTAATTTCTTATAACTCTTAATGTTCCAAGAATGGATAAAAAGAGGGTAATTAATATGGCTAGGCAGAACACGAGGGCAGACACATGATCCTAGGAAAAGGCACAGCTGCTTTAGGGAATTTATTTATTTTACAAGGCTCAGACACTATTCTAATCAAGCCTGACTCTGAGCAGCTTACTGAGGTCCAGAACAAAGTTAAAAGTTAAACATAAAAATGTAACAAATAACACCCAGCACTGAGGAACAACCATAAAAGTGTGTATTTATTTAGATTTCTATAGCCACCTGTCTCACAGGGACGACAGCTCAGTCAAAACACAAGCGCATTTTTTTTAAAAAAAAATCAACATTATTAACAACAAGACAGTAGAAAATAATACAGCCATCTCATTATATCACCATTTCCGTGAGATCCCCCAGCTTGCTGATGTAGCCATGTTTTGAGGGCCTTTTGGAAGGGTATCTGGACGGGGCCAATCTCAACTGTGGGGGGGGGGAGGGAAATGATATCCCACAGAGCAGGCACTATGGCAGAAAAGGCCCATCTCCTGGGTTCTGCCACATGCATTCAGTCAGGAGAGACTGAGGTGAGTCCCTCAAGAGTTGCTGAAATTAGCCAGGTCTTGTAAAAAAACTTACGGGGTTGGCAGCTATCTGATATCAAAGGAACACTGCTCCAGAGAAGGGGAGACAGTGACTGAAAAGAGCAACTTTCTCTTCCACAACTCACACAAAGGGGGGGGGGGAGGCAGAGAATACTGGAGGAAGGTAGTGGATCGTTCACACACACCCAACTCATACAAAAGCATTTTTCTGCCTTGAATCCTAAGTGCTACATGGTCCTGCTAATCAAGGTATTATGGACTAATCCAGCGGTCCCCAATCTTTCTGGCTTGGCGGCCTGGCGGAGGGAAAGAGGGGATGGTTCTCTATGAGCAGCAGAAGTGTGCGTGAGCAGCTCCATACATGCAAGTGGAGTAATGGCGCGCCTGCCACTCACACAAATGAGCTTTGTTCATGTGTGCTCACGCCCACCACTTGTGCAAGTGGAGCTGTGTGCGCGTGCTTGCCCACCACTTGTGCGGCCTGGTTCCGAACAGCCCATGGCGTGGGGGTTGGGGACTCCAGAACTAATCAATCCTATATGGAGCATCCAAGAACAATAGCAACTTTTCACATGATTTGCTTCTGTTACACCCAATAAACAAAAAGCAGCAAGAGTGTAGATATATATTTCACTAGGATCAGATTGGGGAAAAAGGACTACTACACACACTTTTATTAGAATTATTAACTCCATAAGACTGAATAGCCTCATAATAACTGCACATTCATTATATGACCAATTCTGGCCATATTAGTCCAACTTTTTGGATAGATCTGGATCAAAGAAGGATGCCTGAAAGAAATTATAGGCTATTTTTAAACTGCTCTTGACAAGCTTTTATTGGTTGGCAAGACAGAAGCAGCTAGCCAAAAGCCTATACTTACTACTCTTGTTTCACCTTGGAAGTCATCCCATCCTTGCAAAAGTCTGACTCCATGGAAGACTATCTTGATGAAGTTAAGGCTTCAGGGACTAACAGTTGGAACAGGTAAATTCTTCTGTAAGTATCGTCAGAATTAATGCTGATAACACAGTTAGTCCTTGATTTGGCAACTGGCTCACATTTATGACAGCTGTGTGTGTCATGTGATCACCATTTGCTATTGTCCCTGCCTGCTTCTGACAAGCAAAATCAATAGGGGAAGTTGGATTTACTTAATGACGATGTGGTTCACTTCATGATTGCAGCAAAAAAAAAAAAAAATAGTCATAAAATTAGGCATGATCACATGATGGCTTAACAACCACATTACTTAGCCACAGAAGTCACCTGTACTATGTTCCCGTGTTTCAAAAACCCGCTAATGCCAATACTTACGAATGAAGCCTGAGGAGCTTGGAGGATTGACGCTGTCACAGCTGTCTGCGCTATCGCTGTTGGAGAGCTCATCATCGGAATTGGAAATGGGCGAGCCCACGTCCACATCATCAAATTTCCTCTTGAGGCCGGCACTTGCGATGGCATCCATTTGTCTCTGGCTCGCATGGAGAGCCAAAGAGCAGAAGAGAGATTTGTATTAGCTGATGGTTTCTGACTCCAGGCCTACTGATGGGATTTATCAGGTACCTAGTGAGGACAAAAGAGAGGAAAAGATCAGTGACTACTTCATGTCATGCACCTGCAACACACAGGCTGTGTTCAGGCATTGTACTCAGTCAGCTCATGCAGGTGCCATGCCTTTCTTTCTTTTCCAGCTATTCCCCATTATTATTTCCCCCCCAGAGATGAATTAAATGGCTTCTAAGAAAAGCCAAATATGTCAGATATTGATTCCCTTTCATATATTACAGCAGTGGCCCCCAACCCGTGGACCGGCACCGGTCCATGGCATGGCAGAAACCAGTCCATGCAAACAAGTAAAGCCCCAGCCGTGGGATGGAGGCAGCATGCAAAACAATGCCCCTTCCGGTCTGCGGAAAAACCTCTCTACAGGAACCGGTCCCTGGTGCCCATAAGGTTGGGAACCGTTCTATTATAGGCATCAGTCACTCTTCATACAGTTGCATGAGCTGCTTTTTATCCATTCAAAGCTGCCTATTACTTACTGGCTGGCACCAGCAAACAGACAATACGCTGGGAAGCAGAGCATGAGATGCCCACTTGCAGCTCTCAGAACCTTCTAAGCCAGGACTAGCCAAAACTTGGTACCCCCGGGAATCGCCATCTTTTTATTATGATGAGTTCTGCTTGCTAAGTGAGTTCTGCCCCATTTTACCACCTTTCTTACGACAACTGTTAAGTGAATCACTGCAAAGTCAATGGGGGAAGCCAGATTCGCTTAATGACCTCATGTTTCACTTAACAACAGCAGTAATTCGCTTAACTGTGGCAAAAAAAAGGTTGTAAAAGGGGGAAAAACTCACTTAACAACTTCCTCGCTTAGCAATGGAAATCTTGGGCTCAGCTGTGGTCATAAGTCGATCTGTATACATTTTTATCATGTCTATTTATGCATGAGTGAAAAACTCAGACCAGGCTGCTTTCTGCAAATGCCTTCTTGGCATCCAACAATCAAACACAGCTCCTCCCTCCCCATGAGCGTAATGCACTAACAGTGACTTTTGCAGGGGGGGAGGGGAGGGCAGGGGGCTCCAAGCCGGTGTTTGACTCCTGGCAACTGCCTGGACCAGTTCCTGCAGTTTTCTCGGCAAGATTTTTCAGAAGGGGTTTGCCCAGTGCCTTCTTCCTAGAGCTGCTTGTTTCTAGCTGGTTTCTAGCCTGACGCCTTAATCATTACACCAAACTGGCTCTCACAAAAGTGGCCCAGCAAACAAACACACAAACACACACAGACATGCATATGCAAAATCTTCAGGTTTTCCTCATACAAAAACATATCCACCTGCTGATCATGGAGCTTATAGCCTTTCCAACAGGCTAGCGTTTTTAAGCTTCAAAAGTAACCACTTAATTTGGCTTATTATTCCACTTCACAACAAGCCTTTGTATGTTTCCTGACTGCAAATTAAGTAAAAACATTTTATATACAAAGTACAAATTGGCTATCGTTAGTTCATTTTTCAACAAAGGTTTGCAGACTTTATACAGTGGGGATTCTGAAGCCAGTCCTATCACACAGTAAGGTTCAAAAACTCAATTTTCAAAACTGCTAAAATTCGGCTGTATTTCCTACCAAAGCTTCTTAAGACTTGACTTTCAAAGCAATACAAATAATATTTGTATTATAATAAAAGAAAAAGTGCTTAAAATTATGGTGTTACCTTCTATCCAAGTATCATAAAAGGTCAGATTAAAAAAAATGGAAATTCAAGCTACCCCGCAATATCCATAAAACTAGTAACTCTATTGCTAAATAGAGTGGTGGTCGCTAAGTGGGAAATCATGTGATCAAAATGGCCTTGCAAGCTCACTTCCCCTTTGGTCATTAAGTGAAATATCATGTAACTGCAAGATGCCATATTTACAGTTGCAAAGTACCCAAATGGCAATTACAACCACGGGATGCTACGGTGGTTATATGGTAATGAGAGGATTTGTTGCAAAGCTATTTTTTTACACTGTCGTAACTTTGAACAGTTGCTAAATAAGTTGGGAAGCAAGGACTATCTGTATGTACTTTCCCATAATTACAGAGAAGATTTGTTCTTTATCATACACTTCTACCTGCTGAGACCAACGTCTTTTTTTTTCTTTCTAAAAGAAAGCAGATTGGTTTGTCAGAGAAAAAAACTGTAAGTGTTAAATTTTGAAATTATTTTTTCCACTCCTTGCTTTATTTACTAACCGCTGGGCTCTTTGAACCTTAAAGAGGGACCTGATGCCAAGAGCATGGACTTCTTGCTATTTCTGTTGTGTTTTTTAGCCGTAAATGCCCACTTCACTTGTTGCCTGTGAAACGCTATGCATTCTATAGTCAATTAAAATGGAAGGCTCTGAAGTTGTTTTCATATTCCTGACCATGTTTACATATCAGACATACGTGCTGTGCCTTCTAAGTAGCAAAATCTAGATTTATTTTTATGGAATGAATATACATCACTGGAAGGTGTATAAACATTTCTGGTAAAAGCAACAAGAATTCTGACCAAATCTGAATTGGCTTCAATACTGTAGCAGCCAGTAGGGAAATGCAACCATTTTAACCATACGATGCACCAAGGGATATAAATGTTTATGCCAATTATACTGGGGAAAGTTACCCAGCTATTATTCAATATAAATATCGACACTAATATTTTTTAAATGTAGTTGCTGATTTTTTTTTACAAAGGTATGACTGGCTCAGACCTATTTTAGTGCAATCTGGCTAAGTCATGGCCAACAACAGATGTTTCAAAGAAAGGTGTATCAGAAACCAAAACGTTAGTCAGGAGCATGATAATCCTATCCTGTGGCAGTCAAATCCTTATCTGCAACAGTGAAAGATGAAGTTAAGCCTTAGGAGACATGCGCAACAGCGTTTAATTTAGATGCAGCAGACCTGATGACCTACTTCAGCAAGGCTTAGTCTGCATGAGGGCAAAGGAAACTTAGGTTCCATGATAATATTGTTTTTATATACTTTAAAAACAGTTAATGGCAACAAGATAAGCTGGGAATCTTGTCAACCTCAGTGCAGAATGAAAGTCACAATGGAAAAGCGGGCAACAAGGTCCCAATGAAAAAATTCCCAACTGTTATTAAAATGAGGAATAGGGGAATTTCAAGTTAACCTGGGGGATTAGAAGGAAGAAGAGAAATTGTGGTAGGTTGAGAAATAAGATTGCACCAACTGAACGTGTAGTACAATGTATGGCATGGAAAAACCAGTTCCTGGCCTGAGTGTAAAACTATGACTTCCAAAAGAATACTGTGAGTTTAAAGTTCAAAACCCAAACAAGATAGAACATATTTTTTTTAAAAAAAACTATGTGTTACTGCTACTGTATTACATTTATCTTTAGAATGATACCTACCACAATTTGAGACACCCTTTGGATAAAGGGTAGTTTACATATTTTAAACATAAATATGCCTATGTGTTACACAATATGTAACACTATGCAGCACTACTGTGTATATTGTCTATGTTGCAGTTGGCCCTTTCTTGCAAGAATCTAGATATTTTTCCCCTATATATTCTTTTTGAAAGTTGTAAGCCGCAATAGGCATGAGGCAAGCTTATACCAGCTCTGCTAGGACCCCTGCTATTATATCTCATGTATAACAAAGAGCTGCGTCAAATCAGAGGAGGCCTACCTTCTCCACATAATGGACTTCAGATGTTAATGGGAAGACCCTAAGAGGGATATGTGCCAAATCACAATCCCCGGCTCTTTCTGGAGATTTAAGTATGTCTCTGTCTGTGTGTGCGCATGCGTACATCTCTGATAAGAAGCTTGCTTTACCACCAAAAATGAGATGGGGCAAAAACTGTCCTTCTGCTAGCATTTTTGTCACATTAGCTTATGATATAAAGCAGAGATCCCAACCTTTTGGGCACCAGGGACTGGTTCCGTGGAGAGGTTTTTCCGCAGACCGGAGGGTACATGGCTTTGTGTGCTGCCTGCATCCCGCGGATGGGGTTTTGCTTGTTTCTGCGGACCGGTTGCTGGCATGCCGTGGCCCGGTACTGGTCCACGGATGGGGGTTGAGGATCCCTAATATAAAGCCAGTTAGAAACAAACATCTCTGTTGGAGGAAGGGCAGGCTGCGGGTGTTCTGAATACAAGCTGCAACTCCAAAATTAGTAACACACCCTATGTAAAAACACACACACAGAGTACTACCATCATTTCTCTTCAATCTGGCCTTTTTTTTTTTACATTAACACAACAGGACCTTGATTGAAAAAAAAGAATCTGGGGGAGGAGGAATGCAACACTTCTTCCCAGAAAGAAGCAAACAACAGCCAAAAAGAGAATAAATCCCTCCAGCTGGAGCACTGGCAGTCCTTCCAAGGAGGAAGTATTTGGCTTCACTGGAAGCCAAGTGTTTCTTCTTTGAAACATCTCATTCTCTTGAGAGGGTAACAGCTATTAACAGGGACTGCTCCAATTTGTTCTCCTGCAAGTTAGATTCTGATCTATCCTTTGGCAGAAAGACTTGTCTGAAGGCCAGAAGAAAAATGGTCACAAATGGTGATTACCTGCTCCTGTAAAAGCCTTGTTTGCCAGAAATTAAGGAAAAGAATGCACAGCTAAATTTATCACACACTGCTGTGACGTCTATGCTGTTTGTGTCTGTGTATGTGTGCCTTCAAGTCAGTCTTGACTCCTGGAAAATACCTCACAAGTCCCTGCAATTTTCCTGTCAAGATTTTGGAAGTGGTTTCCCTTGCCTCTTTCCTAGAGAAAAAGTGACTGGTCCCAGGTCACCCAACTAGCTTCATGCCGAAAGTGGGACTAGAACTCACAGTCTCCCGGTTTTGCCTGATGCATTAACCATATATCAGACTGGCTTCATGTTATTACGCACTACCTCACTCTTTTAAAGAAAACTAGTTTTAATGGGGGAGGAGGCAAAGGAAGTGCAGCTCAGCTTCAGAAGATAGCTATAGGGAGGGAAAAAAATATTTGATCCCCTGATGATTTTGTGCGTTTACCTGCTGACAAAGAAATGATCAGTATATAGTTTTAATGGTAAGTTTATTTTAAGTGAGAGACAGAATAACAACAAAGAAATCCAGAAAAATGCATTTTAAAAAAAGGTATAAATTGATTGAAATAGGTATTTGACCCCTGCCCAAAACATAACTTAGTACTTGGTGGCAAAACCCTTGTTGGCAATTACAGAGGTCAGACGTTTCTTGTAGCTGGCCACCAGGTTTGCACACATCTCAGGAAAGATTTTATCCCACTCCTCTTTGCAGATCCTCTCCAAGACATTAAGGTTTGGCATCTCGAACCTTTGGCTCTCTCACAGATTTTCTATGGGATTAAGGTCTGGAAACTGGCTAGGCCACTCAAGGATCTTAATATGGTTCTTCTTGAGCCACTCCTTTGTTGCCTTGGCTGTGTGGTTTGGGTCATTGGTATTCTGGAATACCCATCCATAACCCATTTTCTATTCCCTGGCTGAGGGAAGGAGGTTTTCAACCAAGATTTGACAGTACATGGCCCCGTCCATTGTCCCTTTGATGTGGTGAAGTTGTCTTGTCCCCTTACCAGAAAAACACCCCCAAAGCATAATGTTTCCATCTCCATGTTTGACGGTGGAAATGGTGTTCTTAGGGTCACAGGCAGCCTCCCCCTTCTCCAAGCACAGCAAGTTGAGTTAATGCCAAAAAATTTGATTTTGGTCTCATCTGACCACCACACTTTCACCCAGTTCTCCTCTGAATCATTCAGATGTTCATTGGCAAGCTTCAGATGGGCCTGTAAATGTGCTTTCTTGAGCAGGGAGACCTTGCGGGCACTGTAGGATTTCAATCCTTCACGGCACAGTGTGTTACCAATTGTTTTCCTGGTGACTATAGTCCCAGCTGCCTTGAGATCCTTGACAAGATATTTCTGTGTAGTTCTGGGCTGATTCCTCACTGTTCTCATGATCACTGAAACTCCACCAGGTGAGATCTTGCATGGAGCCCCAGACAGAGGGAGATTGAGTTATTTTGTGTTTCTTCCATTTGCGAATAATTACACCAACTGTTTTCACCTTCTCACCAAGCTGCTTGGCAATGGTCTTGTAGTCCATTCCAGCCTTGTGTAAGTCTACAATCTTGTCCCTAACATCCTTGGACAGCTCTTTGATCTTGGCCATGGTGGAGAGTTTGGAATCTGATTGATTGCTTCTGTGGACAGATGTCTTTTATACAGGTAACAAGCTGAGATTAGGAGCACTCCCTTTAAGAGTTTGTTACCTGTATAAAAGATACCTGGGAGCCAGAAATCTTGATGATTGATAGAGGATCAAATACTTATTTCACTCATTAAAATACAAATCAATTTATAACTTTTTTGAAATGCATTTTTCTGGATTTTTTTGTTTTTCTTCTGTCTCTCACTGTTAAAATAAACCTACCATTAAAATGATAGACTGATCATTTCTTTGTCAGTGGGCAAATGTACAAAATCAGCAGGAAATCAAATAATTTTTTCTCTCAATGTAGAACAGCATGTTGCCACAACTAGAAATATGAAAGAAAAGCACCTAGTATTTAGTGTATTTTGCCTCTAGCTTCTCTAATATATCTGCATCTAAAAAGAACAAGAATGCTCTCAAATATAGCCTATATCTCATAGATTTGTTGTTATAGAAAAGGCTACTCTGTATTATAAACATAAATGTTTTAATGCTATTACCTTATTCTGTTGCACCAAAAGGAGTTGGAAGTCAACATTTTCTTTCTTCTTTCCCTCCACACTTTTCTCCCTTTCTCTCTTTTTCACTTTGTATTTTATATTTATATTTGGATAAACTAATAAAAATTTCAAAATTATGAAGGTTGGCTGATGTCAAAAAGTTAAATAAGATCAGGTTTGGACCGTCGGGTGCTTGGAAAGATGAATAAATAAATATATTTGACGTTAAAAAAAATAAGAAAATGAATAGATAAAAAGTATCACCTATTATTTCTTAGACTAAAATATCTTGTCTACATCATCTTGAAAATACAAGATAGATATACCGTGTAAGTCATAATAATAATAATGTATGTTACCTACCATATATCAAGTAAGGATAATATCTAAAGAATTCTACAGCTAGTCAGCACTAACAAAAAAACCAACTAATAAATTTACGACATTTCAAAAAATAGAAGGAATATGAAAGAAAGGGAGTGGAGGGGAACTCTGAATCGTGCTGCGAGTTTCTTTTCCTATCTCCACTTTTCTGCCGCAAGACATTCATTACAGAACAATGGCCTTTCCTTTATTCAGCTGGGAGACAGATTAGTCTGAGCACAGGCCTTGGGTTTGGTTTTGTTTTTTTAAAATGTCCCTGATGACTACAAGAGAGAAATAATGTCATTTCCAAGAGAGAAATAACTTTTTAAAAGCTGCCCTTTCCCAGCACAAAATGCCCCGTGGGTTAAGGAGAACAAAAAAAAAAAAAAGAGAAACAGCTCTTGAAAGAATCAAGGGTCACCCTCAGGTGACCCGCTAGAATAGGGAAATGAGACAGGTTCAGAAAACAGAGCACTGCAAGGTACCAAAGAGAGCTTCTCAGCCTTGAGAAGTGAAATCTGGTGGGAAAACAGCCTTGAAGTTAACACAACAGCAGCTTAGTAACCCACTGTAGCAATATGCAGTCATAAAACCACTGCTCTGAAAGTTTAGAGAAATGCCACCCTGCAACTCTAACCCACTGTCTTTTGTAGAATAAAAACTACAGCCTTTCATAAAATAAAAAGACTCTGCAGAAGTAGAATTTGGTCAGCAGATCTCATGAATCTACTTCCCACAAACTCTGTGCATGTTGGTGCAACTCCATCACCGCCCACCCAGACTGGCCCTGCCCACTTCTTCCTTGCACTTGTCTGTTCCCTTCCAAATCCTAGCAACTGTCTCCATAGCAACAAAGCTGAACAAATGGGCTTGAAAGAAACATGCCAGCCAGATGTGGCATGCAGCAGCAAGATGATCCTGACTGCCAGTCTCAGCTTCTTTGGAAGAAAGGAGCTAGCAGCTTGTGTCAGAGACAGGCATACAGAAAGACAGACAGACAGACACACACAGACAGACAGACATAGAAAAACAACATCCATTCTCCACTGCTGAATCTTCAGCTCTCTTCAGAATCAAGATTTTTATATTCCTTCAATTGAGAAACATTTCAAGGGAATTTAACAGCTTGATTTCTGTATCTGCTAAAGGAAAGAGACCAAACCTGGCAACTGAGGCAAATCAGGAAGCCAAGTACAATAGTGTCAACTTGGCATGCCATTAATTACTCATCACTGATTTCTTCACTTTTAAGTAGGTCAGCACTTTTGCAGTGGCTTTTTTTTATATTTTCATCTAATGCTGTTAGTCATGAACTTGAGGTGGATGGCCAGATAGGATGGCCAAATTCAGAAGATGCTGGGACCTTTGGTGTAAACCAATAATGAAGCGAAAGGGTTCCTGACTCACCAATTCCTCTGGAACTAAGTTTGCCACCCATAAAATCGAGTCCTGGATGAAATGTATTCACACTCCTTGAATGGGCAACACCAATGAAAAAAGAACAGCGTTGTGTCTTTGCAACCGCACGTGCCACTAGATTCAAAGTTTGAACATCTCACTTTGTACTGTTACCAACTTCTGTAACTCTACCATCACCAGTATATGTCTTTCTCTCTCTCTGCCCTTTCACACATTATTAGCTTCCTAAATTACTTCCTTCTACTGTGTACAGTAAGCATGTGACAAAACAAGTGTTGTTTTAAACGTGTTTAAAGAGCCAGTGGCATGGAAGGTAAGGTAAGGTGTTGGATTAGGAATGAGAAAGCTCATTGGCTACTTTAAGTACATACACTCAACCTACTTCACAGGACTGCTATCATGGGGAAAAGAAGGAAGACAGTATGTTATGGCCACTGCCCTAAATGAAGGGCAGGATGAAAATCAAGAAAACAGACGGTTAAATACAATTGGGTGTCCACCCTGTACAACAAGAGATCTTATGCTTAATGAAACTGTTGTCTCCTCCTTCTTGTATGGTTTGTTCTATTTTATCTGAAGACCATTTTGAACCAATTGTATTTTTGTCCTGTAGTGGAACCGTGTACTGGGTATTGGATTAATATGCTACGTGGAAATTCATTGCAGATTTCTTTCAAGGTTTACAAGGAACCATTGTTGAAAATTCACGCTTCTAGAGAAAACCAAATTCTGTTTTTAAAAATTCACAGTATCAGGAACTCTTAAAACATAAGGTTAGTTTTTCTCAGCAATACATGTTTAATAGAACTGACCTCACCCTTGAAAGAATCCATTGCACTTCAACTCACTCTACAAGCTTTCTACCAAACTTTTTAAAAATCAACAGATCCAAAGCATCCTATACACCATGGGTGTCAAACTCACCACGTAATGTATCGTGACTCTTTTTGCATTGCTGGCAATGGGGTGGGCATGGCTTCAGTATGATGAAACCAGCCCGTGGGCCGGCAGTTTGACACCCCTGCTATACACTGTTACCTGACCGAAGCAAGCTTAACACTGCTATTTTCTAGATTCTGCAAAATCTTACCATAACTCGAAAGATTTTGATGTCCTCACTAAAACAATAATTAGAACTATTTATAAAAAAAGTAACATTAAAAAAAACCCTCAGAGACCAAAGCATCAGACTCATGTTTCTCCTCCCCATCTGTCCATTGAGCCACCCAGAGAGCAGCAACATGAAACCTGCTACGTCCAAGTGAGAAATGCTTTGTTGATCAAAAGGAGCATCACCTGTTTTTCATTATGGCAAGGAATTCCAAACATCTTGAAGACATCCTACAGTGTTTGGGAAGAACTGATGGGAAAAGCAGTAGGATCCCCTTGGTGAAAAACCATGAACAAGTCATTTACAAAGGAGGGGAAAAAAACTAGAGGGATGGAGAAGAAGAAAAACTTTCAAGGGAATTATTTAGCTTAGAAAAGGAAGTAAAAAAGGAATCTGAAAGGAGGGGATCACAAAGGGGAACACAGCTTCAAAAGGGAAACA